TAATGCAACATGTATTAATTGTTCATATAATATTGACCTTTTTTCTTTTTCATGGTAGTATTGAAATGAAGTATATATATGAGGCTTTTGCCTTATACTAATACATGTTGATGTATATATTAATGAGTTAATCAAATTATTTGTCTAAAAGTATAATAATTTTTTTTTTCTTTATGTATAATGTTCCTAACCTATCATTGTTATACAAATACAAAATAAATATAAAAAAATCACAGTCCATACTTTGTGTGTAATTTTTAAAATTACAAAGAGAGTATTCATAGTAAAATTATATAACTAATTTTACGTAAAAAGACCGTTCATACTTGTGTGTATTTTTAAAAATAAATAACAAGAAGCTGTTAATAATAAGATTTTAATCAGATGTAATTACAAGGATAATTTGAGAATAGTCATAGAAATAAAATTGTAAATATATATATATATATAAATATAACCCTTAGATTAATTTTCTCTCACTTGATTAAATCTCAAATTTTCTCTCACTTGATTAATCTAAGGGTTATATTTTAACCCTTTCACCCTCTCATAATAAATTCTTCTCACTTGATATGCTTCATATATATATATATATATATGAGTTAATCATTCATACACTGTCAGTGTAAAGTTTTTTATACTAACAACCAATCATATCTTTTAAATTATTTTATTTTATTTTATTAAATAAGCAACTGATATGACACTATTAAAAGATATGATTGGTTAGCAGTATAAATTTTTTTTATACTATCAGTATATAAATGATTAACTATATATATAAATAATATAATGTCATTTATTAATAGTTAATTTAAACGGGTTGTACATGCGTAATAAATTAATAATTTATTGCACCAAACCAATCGCGTATCTCACCATCTCAAACCCTACTGTGAAAGTTGGGTGCATGTGTGGAAAGTGAACATCAGATTGATGCTCTCGGATTTCATATTACAATTTATAATATTCGTTTGCTGCTATAAATTGTCAAAGGAATAAAGGATCTCAAAATTGAGACATAAGCTGATAAAATGCCATCAAATCCTACTTTAAAGTAGAAAATAAATCCCTTTGACAAGATGTATACCATTTTTCATCCTTCAAATAACTGTTATAGGTGGCGTTGGTTGACATAAAAATCAACACAATTAAGGAACCAGGAACTTGTCCAGGACATTTGCTGTAAGTCACATGAAGAAAAATTCTAATGGTGCGTTTTGGGAGGTGAGTTTGTAGATAATGATTAAAAAAAAAAGATAGATTATTAAAGAATTTTAAAAAATTATATGTGATTGGAGAAGAGAATTTAAGTGAAATTAAAAGAATATTGTAGTGGAGTGTTATTAGATTTAAGTTTATCCTCTTATAATTGAATTTGTGTGAAATTTTAATTTCCTTTTAATTATCATCTAATTCACTTTATTAAACAAGTCAAATTTCACTCTATTTTTATATATTTTTTTATCAAATTTATTTTCACCTATTTTTTTCTATTCTCCTCAATTCATCCCTCCTCAAACAAACCACAAATGTTTAATTACCAATTCTCCAGAATGGTAAAATTGAAATTTAATATTCCCATCTATTCTTTATATAAAAATAATTTAAGTGTATTTTTTTTTCAGACTCAAATATCATCCTTCAAAAAAAAACTTTTGATACCAAAATTTAAAAATGAAAACTAGACAAGAAATTTTACCTTAATTAATAATAATATTATTAAAAAATATTTTATTTAATTTGAATAATCATTTTATATTTTTATATCAATAAGGAAAATAAGTAAGATAATTTTATAGATTGTTTGATATGAATAAAAATTGGAAGAAATAAAGTTATTTTAAAAATGTATATAAAATATCACAAATGTCCCTAAAAAAAATAAATAAATAAAATGCATTTTTGACATTTAATATATACATCGTTATTCTTTCTCTTATTCCTTTTGAATTAAATATGTTTTTTTTTTAATTTTTAATTTTTATTTTTAATTCTTGAAAAAGATTATTGATTCTGAAATTTTTCTTCATAAATAAAAAAAATTGAGGTAAAAAAACAAATATGTTAACCAGAGAAAAAATACAAAGATCAAAAATGAAAATCGAAAGTTTAAATTTTTAAATTAATAAAAAAATATTCAAAAACTAAAAATAAAAATTGATACAAATTTAAGAACTAAATACATATATATATATATATATATATATATATAATACTTTTTTTATCAACTCTTTCGCTGTTTTTTCTATTATTATTTTGGAAAGATTCATAAATTTGTATGTCCCACTTGAATTTTAATATTTCCTCCTCTAATTTAGAAACATCCTTCTTTTTTCTTTTACCTTTCCACCTTACCAAATTGATTGCTCAACAAAGTAGGTCGTATCACCCTCACGCAAGCGATCATTACAATGCTTCCTTGTTATAGTATGAGACTGTACTGGTACCCTCAACATATATGGTGGGTTGGGATAAGGTTACGAGACGACAACAATAAAGTTGTTTGGGGTTGTGAAGGACACGTACGCAGAATAAAACTTTGTTGGATAAGTTGGTGTGGGACTTACTAGTTGTTTAGGATAAGTATTTTTCGGGCCTTGGAGGTTTTGGAGGATGGTTTCATGATGAAGTTAGGAGTTGGAGAGCTGGATTTTTGGCAAGAACCAATGGGTCATGAAAGAGCCACTTGCATTTGTAATTCCCTGGGTTGATATTCATGACATGGGTCTTCGGGTTAGGATGTTTGGCATGGGCATTCTTGGAATCTTAGTTTACTATACTCGTTAGTTAACACTTAACACTCTTTATGAATGTACAAGTCTTTGTCTAACAGATTTTAGACCAAGCTATCCCAACGTGTAAAGTATTACCTCATCGTGGGTTGCCCAAGGTGTAATGGATCTGATGAAACTAAGGAACATTGTCTATTCTCTTGTCCTAAGAGCTTGACGGTTTGGCAACGTTTGAGGTTGGTCTCTGGGAGGGATGGTTCTCTTAGAGTTCATTGGGTGGTTTGGTTGGAGCAGTAGGGGCGTTGGGTGGGTGTATTGTTCTTCATTATCCTTTGACAGATTGGTGTAGCCGGAATCTATTGGTGTTTGAATAGCGTCGCATGGAATTGGTCACACTGTGTAGGGACATTAATTGTGGGTTCCTTCCTGTTTGGTTTCATGGGGCGCTTGCATAATTCATCTTAGGTATGTGAGACATGCGTATTACATGCAAAGGTGTTGGTGTTGTTGCATGGGCTGCATTTGTGTTGGGAGAAAGGTTTTTTTCGAAGGATCCATTATTGTTTCGATTTGCTTAATTTGGTTAATTTTCTGAATCAAAACCATCCAATGAGTTAGTGGAAATTTAGAGTCTTTTAAATAGAAGTTGATATTTCTCTCTATCACATATTCTTTGGAAAGGTAATGTGTGCAAATGTCAACAGGACTTTACGATTTTAGTAATTGGTTGACTTGTTTGTGGGTTTAATTAGTTTTTGAGTTTGTTTATATTTTTTTTCCACTTCATGGAATTTTTTTTATTATTAGGTTGATAGAGTTTCGTATAAAATAACGGTCAAATATATTTTTAAACCTAAAATAAATTTTGAAATAAAATATATTTTAAACTAATAATAAATTAAGAGTCTTAAAATAAATATGATTTGGACACAGACAACTCAAGATCTTGTTTATTATTTTATTTTTACACATACATGACACAAGTTAAGATTTTATTTATTCATTTATTTTTACAATTAAAATATAAATTAATTATTCCAATAGTTCAATGATTTTAATTATAAAAATAATTAAATAATAGATTTACACATTGAATTAAAAATATAATTTAATTATTAAATTTTTATTTAACATTCTTTGTTATTTATTAATTTTTATATATTATCTTAATTAAAATATAATTAATTACTTAATATATAATTTCTTTAAAGTATAAAATATATTAAAATTATAAAAAAAGGCAATTTTTTCGTAATTTACCGGAGTATGATAAAATTTTAGATTTGACACGTATGATTCTGCAAATCAATCATGAAACCAGCAATAAAATCAGACAAATGCAAACAAAACCATTGTAATCAGACAAACGCGTTTGATGGGCCGACCTTGAAAAACTAATTGGGTTGTTTTCATAACCCGCCCAGCAATTCTTTGTTCTTTGCTGTCTAGAAAATTCAATATTTTTTTCATCAAAAAAGGAGTATCCAATATCTTTTTTATTTTTTATTTTTTATTTTTTATTTTTTATTTTTTGTAATTGGCTTTGCATAAATTTTTTCGAACCACGTTTGTATGGAAGACCATGCCCCATATACTCACAGTAATACAGTATCCTCTCAATAAGCAAAAGATCAATCTATTGCGATGTGGTCAAGTAATAAAATAGTCAGATAATTAGTCTATCTAATATTTGTTTTATAAATTTTGTCGTATCTGATTATTTTTTATATATTTATATTATTTTCATTTCATTTAAGTTAAATATATTTCTAATTAGTAAACAAACGTGTAAGTTAAAATTCATCATAATTTATAATATAAATGATTTTTTTAATATATTTTCTCTTTCTTGTAACTACATATAGTTATATATATATACATTTATATTTTATTTTATAACTGATTTTATAAAATTCTATGGATCAGATTTTATTTATTTATTTATTTATTTATAATTAATCCGTAGGAATGTAGCTTAACTATCAATATTTGATTTGTTCCTTTCCATATGAAGGCAACCGTCTTATGTATGAAGAATATGCAGAGCAAAAAAGAGATAAATTAGATTATGATATTTTGTGAAAGATAGGTTTAAGTTAGAAACCGAAGCAATATATAAGATACTTACAAAGTTTTGTTATACATTTTCAGCACAATTCAGGCACATACAATCAGTTAAAGAAGGAAGTTGTAATCAGATAAATCCTCGTTCGGCAAATACTTCGACGTATTTCGTTAGAAATATCTATCTAGAATCCTGGCCCCTAAAAGCAAGGTGCGAGACTTATTACGCAATAATCCGAATGTGATATGTTCTTTATATAACAATTTACACTAAAGAATGGTGTAATGCAATTATATAATGCTTGTCTGGCACTCAATCATGGTACATGGCTAAAGGAAAAAGGAGAATGCCAAAACTCGCACTATTTGATGTTGCCAGAAAGCTAGATTGAAAGTAAAAGACCAGGGAATTCACACATTGGAATCATACATTCAAGGCCATTTTGTGAACTCAAACACCTTGAACACAATGTCAATTCCAGTGGGAATCTGCCACACAAAGAGCAGAACGTTCACTGCATTCAGCGCGATGTGAAGATTTCTGGCTGTTTCATTTCCTTTTTGCATCGATGGTACTAGGGCTGCTGCCAGTGCCCATAAAACGGTAATACCTTGAAGGCAAAAATTGCACAACAGTTAACATTTTTTACCAACATATACACTGTATATATTATCTAGTCAAAGGTCGTCATGTGTGATAATTTTGTTGATTTTCACGGTAACTACTTTAAAAATCATAATAACGGGGATTTCTAATTAATTCACTTTATAAAAATTTCCATACTATAAGTCCATAAAAATTAAACTCAAAAATAATAATCCTCCCACTGGGAGAAAGATTCCAGCTACATTTTTGTTTAACCTGTTTAGAAAGCTACCACAAATGTTACCAAATTCGTTATATTGGATATTGTTTTATCTTTACCTTCTTTATTTTTGCTTCATCAAATGCAAAATTAATCTTTACCTGCTCCTGCAAATAAATGTGGACCGGGAAATAGCTTTCCTGTTCTAAGCCATGTGTTCACTCCCCCACCAATTGACTCAAGCACCCCAAATCCTAAAAGTATGGATCCTGCATTGAAGTGTCTATCCTTATAGGAACCTTTGATCAGATCTTTCCTTTCCTGAACATGAGTATCCAGTAAATTAGTTGCTCATCAGATTCAGAATTCAGCATTCCATGAGTAGCTCCATGCTTTTTACTGTTTTATTCACTACCATTATATATAAAGTCCAGCATCCAGAAAATAATGAAACAACCACAGATCAGGGGAAATTATAAAAAAATAAAATAAAAAATAAAAAATGTCACACAGCATGACACAATCTAAATTGCTCATGTAATGATATAAATTAGAGTATTAGTTTCTAAACCCTCTGAACCCAAAACCGATTACAATAAACTGTTCTAATTGGACATATGCAGATCATTATATTAGTTATCTACAGATTTAGCCAAGACAAAAGCTCAATAGTTTGGCTATGATAACTATAAATATTTATGGTAATTAGAATCAGAGGTAAACATGCTGGAAATTTTAGAAACTACCTCCACACTCCACAGAATCCGAGATTTCAATATACTCAAATACAACTATATATATAACCTCCTCCTAGGGTTAAGAGTAGGTTGGTTACACTTTGTGTGTGTTGAGGACATAGACCACTCGAGACTTTTCTAGGTGTTTTCCATACCATAATAGTTTCACAATTAGAAAAAATGTATTACAGTACATCACACCATCACATTCTTTCTATACAGAGAGAGACATACATTGTTTGAAATTTGAATATAGTTTGTGTACCTACCTCAGTGAGTTGCTGTATTTGGAGTTCAACCGGTGATGGTGGTGCTTCCACTGGATTCCCATCTGGGGTGACTGGGGTAGGTTTGACTTGTTTCTTGAGTTCATTGATATCATTCTGGATAGTCCTAACTCGCCGCCATTGCCACCCCAAATACCCTGCCCACAAAGTATAGAAGAAGAAAGCACCCATGACAATGGGGTGTATGAGAGCAAATGATCTTCCTTCCAATATCCCAAACTCTCCTCCAGCAGCAAGTGCATCCTGTGGCAATAACAGCTTTATGAGAAGAAAGCAATCATAAAGTATGAAAGAATGGAAGGTATGTGCATGCCTTGGGATCTAGTAAGAATGGAAATGTGATTGCTGAGAGGGAAAGAAAAGCAGGCTTGAGAGAATGGATGTTTTGATCTAAGAAGGGGAGCTTTTGTGGGTTAGGAGAATGTTTTGGTATGTTTAAGATGGAAGGAAGTGGAACAAGTTTTGAGGTTGATGGGCGTGGCTTGTTAGGAAGAATTGGAAGCTTTAGGAGAGTGAGTGTGACCGCCATGTGAGTTGTGAAGGAGTGAAGAAATTGTGCAGTGCAAGAGTGGGGTGAGGTTGGTTCAAGATCCTATTCCTACCCAGTAAAACTAAAAGATAAGGAACTTGTGCCTAAGATGTTACTCTCCGCTCACTGAGCTGTCTTCCAACTGTCCTTTTCTTCTAACTTCTAACCACTTTCTCATATCACAAAACAAAAACTTCAACCATTAAGATCATATACTTTAATCAACTTTTTTTTGTTATTTTTATAATACAATTATTTATTTTAACCATTAATTAATTATATGTATATTTTTTTCATTTTAATCTCTATCCTCTATTGTTATGGAAATTAAAAAATAAAAAGTCATGAATTTATAGGTAACCAAGTGTTTAAACTTTTAAGATTTATGTTCCAAAATGCTATTATTTATGTGGATACTTATACAACAGCAATGATACCTCAACTTCTATTCTCCCTTCTCTTTACACTTGTTAATACTTATCATTCTTTTTTATATTTTATACCATATTGTATTATACTTATATTTTTATTTCTTCTATTTTTCTCGTTCTTTAAGTGTTACACAAGGTTAAAGTGTGGAAACTATTTTTATTTTAGAATTAAAGTCTAGTTAATTTCTTTATAAGCAAAATCTGATAAATAAAATGAAATAATTCTTTTATAAACTAAAATTAGCTTATTTGAACTTCTTAACCGTGAGACCAAAACCTGATAATTTATTGTTTGGCTATGTTCCATTTTCCAAAAGACACTAATAAACAATATTTAATTTCAGTTCAAAATTTTTGTCAATTTTTTTTCTTCTAGATCTTAATATCCATATACCTACTATATTTATATAGGATAAAACTAAATTTATTGATTAGATATAATTATACTCAAATCACATAACTTGGAGCCAAGCTACGCAAAATGTTATACTCGCGGCAAATAAATAATTTATTTCGGACTAATACTGTACTTTGACATACTCGCATACCTTAGCTAAGATGGGAAATTCAAGGTGGTAAGGAAATGTCCCACATCGATAAATATAATTGGTTTAAATAGCTTTATATAATTAGGAATTGCATTACTGGGAATGTGGATTATGAGGCATTGTGAGTGGGCCTACGCAGTTTACTGGACTCAGGAAAGTCCCCGGGCGATGGCTGCAGAGATGCAGGCTCGGTCACGAGTATTTACGAGCTGGGACTTGTTTCGTTCGCTAGAGCGAGTGGCTGAGACCCGTGTGGAGCCATTGCAAGTCCTGTGACGTATAAATTGGCCGATATCACAGTCATTCTCAAGGTCCTATTGACTAACATAACGGGGCTTATGCCCTCGTGATCCACAATCATTTTTTACCAATGATTTTAAATTTAAATTTATGTTCTGAAAATGAAATGAAAGAACGGTTCGATGAGAATGTCAACATTCACTGCAATTTATAATTTATATATAATATTAAAGTTTTTTCATTAAAACTATTACATGATATTTTAAAAAAATTATATTTAAACTTATTTGATTTACTTTTATCTAGATATTCATAAAATAATAATAGCTAAAAATTAGTCGTAATAAATATTTTATATTGATTACATGATTATAAAAACCTTTTTTTATATTTTTATAATTCCTTTTAACATTTTAGATTAAATAAAAAAGTTAGTAAAAAAAAAATATTTTGATGAATATTTATGCAATATTTTTTTCTTATCTGTTAATTTATCTTTGTAAACATTGATAAAGAAAAATAATATATTATTTAATTTTTATGGATTGTTATGTAAATTTTTTTAATGTAATCAACGAATAAAAAGTTATATTAAGTAATTTTTAAGATAATTATTGTCAAAGTTAAATTTGTTATATTAAGTAACTTTTAAGATAATTATTATTAAAATCAAATTTATCTTACATATAATTTGTAATTTGATAATAATATAAAATATTTGTAGGCTATCAATATATATACCATGTTAAAATATTTGGGTACAAAATAAAATATAGTAGGAAATATATGTTTATAACTGTTTTACCAAAATTAATCATTATTTTTAATAATAAATATTTCATATTAGTATCATAATTACTAAAAAAATACTATCTCTTCCAATATTAATTTGATTTTTGCATGTAACATTTATAATACTTAACTTTGTGTATATAAAGTAGTATTGGCATAATTTTTTTTACGGTAAGTATTATTATTTTTTACACCTAGTATAAAATATTGTTGAAGATGTCAATCAATTGGAATAAGATTGTTCCACCTCAATAATTTGTATTAATTATAAATAAGAGTTATTTATTTATCACAATGATAAAAATTAAAAATATCTTCTTGAAAATTTGGAGAAAAGAAAAATTAAAAAAACATATATGGACTTTTTCTTTTACTAAGAAAAGTTAATGAGTTTAATTTTTAAGATTGATTTTATTATGTTAAAATATATAATGTTAACTTTAAGTATGAAATTGACTATATTGAAAAGAGGATACACATTTTACATGTCTTTATAGTATTCGTACAAAATTAATCATTGTTTTAATGTAGATATTTTATAACAATATTATGCTTTGATTAAAAAGAAATATAATATTAAAATTAAACTCACTATATTAATAATATACATTAGTAAGTAATTTTCATTTAAGAATATTTTAAATATCTATCCAATGTACAAGACCATTTTAACTGATTTACACATTTTAAAAATATTGAATAATTAATTAATGACTTTAAATTTGTGAATACTGTAAATTATTATTTAAGACCACCCTTAACATTTTTTAAACAAGAGAAAATTTGGTTAATTGATTTTCATATGAAAAATGTCAATAACACATCATCTTCAACTATTACATTTTCATATTTTAGTATTAGTCTATCATTTTTTTAATTATTATATTTTCATAATTTAGTAAATAAAACCCTTTTTTAAGAGAGAAACGCTTTTTTATTTTGAGATGCAAACTTGAATTTATTAAAATACCAAATGTCAAAGTTGAATGTACAAATACACAAAATCACTATTATTAAGACTATGTAGAACAGAACCACATCATTACCAGAATAAACGAAATGTCCATGGTGCACACAATTCAACCACAATATTGGCTGAAGCTATCCCTTTCTATGTAAAAGATATATTTTTAAAAAAATTACTAGTAGAAGATTAAATAAAACTATTTTTTTTAATTATAGTAAAATGTTTATTTTTTTATCTTTTATCTTATTTTTTTATTTTATATTTTTATTTATAAAAAATTTATTTTAATTTTTTATCTTTTCTATTTGAATTGATTTGATCTTTTTTAAAAATAATTATTTTAAATTTTACTATATAATTTTAAACCAAAATTTGACTGATTTAATGCATTAAATTTTCCTATATGAAAACTATAGAATACAATTAAGGTTTGAATGCAAAATAATTATAAACATAATAAAAATTATTTGAAAAATGTATGTGATGAATAACTAAAAAATAAGGCTTAAATATGTTTTTAATCCCTCAAATTTAGGGTAAATTTGTTTTTGTCCCTCAAATTTAAAATTATTGCTTTTAGTCCTTGTAATTTCAAAAAATCTTATTTTATTCCTTATATTCAAATTTTGTTAAGAAATTTATCAAATATTATTGCATAAAATTTATCTATTAATGTCTTTATTAGTGAAAATATCACATTAAATCCGGTTGATATTGTATAACTGTCTTAATTAGTCACTTTCAAATATGTTATTGGTGACTTAAGGGACTAAAATAAGATTTTTGAAAATTACATGGACTAAAAACAACAGTTTTAAATTTGAAGGACCAAAAATAAATTTATCTCAAATTTGAAGGACTAAAAATATATTTAAACCAAAAAATAAATTTTTTTTTTTTCATACTTATTAGCACATTTGATTTGTATTTCAATTGCATTCAATAATTTTCATATAAGTGAATTTTATGAGATAAATTTCAAGTTTTGAATCACTTTAAAAAAAATTCAAGGGAACTAAATATATGTAAATTTAGAAGATAAATAACTAAAATAAATATTTTAAAAATAAAAGATTAAAATAAATTAAAAAATAAGATGAATGACCAATTATCTTATTATACTTCTTATTTACAGATAAATAACATAATACAGTACATGAGAACATTTTGAAAGTAATTAAACTAAATTTATCATATCATCAGTAAATATATTTAAAATAGATATTTTTTAATATGCATTAAAATAATAATATAACTATAAGATATTCATTTAAGTTGAAATAAAGAAAATGTGTTTTATTTGAATTGGAAGAGTCACGTAGTTTGGGCCGCGTGGGAATGACGGGAGCGCGGAGAGAGAAAGTAGTAAGGATGGTTCGAGGAAGGAGGCAAGCCCAACCCAATTACTTTCCAAATAAATACAAGGGAAGCCTAAAAGTAGTTGCAACGTAACGCCTAAACAAAATTCGAATTTCCATTCCCTTCATCGTTTCCGAAATTGGTCATCGAAAAACCCTAAGCTAAGGATGGGGAACACGGAGAAGCTGATGAATCAGATCATGGAATTGAAATTCACATCGAAGTCGCTGCAGCGCCAATCGCGGAAGTGCGAGAAGGAGGAGAAAGCGGAGAAGCTGAAGGTGAAGAAGGCGATCGAGAAAGGCAATATGGACGGCGCACGGATCTACGCGGAGAACGCCATCCGGAAGCGCACGGAGCAGATGAACTACCTCCGCCTGGCCTCCCGCCTCGACGCGGTGGTGGCGCGCCTCGACACGCAGGCCAAGATGACCACAATCAGCAAGTCCATGGGCAACATCGTGAAATCGCTCGAGTCCTCTCTCGCCACCGGCAACCTCCAGAAGATGTCTGAGACCATGGACCAGTTCGAGAAGCAGTTCGTCAACATGGAGGTCCAGGCCGAGTTCATGGAGACCGCCATGGCCGGATCCACCTCCCTCTCCACCCCCGAGGGCGAGGTCAACAGCCTCATGCAGCAGGTCGCCGACGACTACGGCCTCGAGGTCTCCGTCGGCCTCCCTCAGCCCGCCGCCCACGCCGTTCCGGCCAAGGAGGCTGACAAGGTCGACGAGGATGACTTGTCTCGCCGCCTCGCCGAACTCAAGGCTAGAGGTTAATTAATTAATTAATTAATAATAATGCTATCACTTTGCATGCACTGTTACTCTATCTTATTACATATCTTTCTGTATATTTAACTGAATTCGGTTGGCTGGCTCTAAGAGTAATAGATATTGTTGTGTGGACATGGCTTTCAGGGGTTTCTGTTATGCCCTCGTGTGAATACTAAATACTATGCTTATATTTGCCTTTTCATATTTTTGTATTTTGGATTATTGGATTGGGGTTTATATCCCGTCTGGAATTTTGCACAGCCTGGAGGGAGGAATAGAGGAGGGATAAGGTGACTAGTTCTGTCTGTGTGGTTTTAATTGAGGGACTCGGATACCCTGCAGTGCATGTTTTGCCTGCAGTTGGGGAATCCATCACTCCGCGTAACCTCTCTAATAAACTTTTTAAGTCTAGTCATGTGAAGCTTTGGATAAGGGAAGGAGGGATTGCGGCTCCCATTTGACGGGAGGCAAGGGTCTGTGTCCATTCATGGAGAAGGGGTGGTGGCATGAAGGAGTGGTTTGTGGGCAGTTTCAATCTCTCACCGGGGTGGCACAATGGGGGCCTGGCATCACAGAAAGGATGCCAGCTTGGGGGTGGGGATAATGGGTGGCAAGGATGCCGATTTTGCTGGGTTTGTTTAGTGCAAGCTGGTGTGGGAACTGGTGCAGTATGTGTTTATCATTGAACTTCTCATTTGTAGTCTAGTTTACTGGATGTGTTAGTGATAGAAATAAATATGGCTATTATACGGCATACACATGTTTGTGTTGTGTATATATAATACATTGCTCATCAAGATGAATATCGAGAACTTTCGTCTAGGTGATCCAGATAATCCTTAATCCCAATGAGAAGGAGAGTTACTGATAGGCATTCAAATTACACTTCCTCGGGTTCTTGCTCCTGTGAGATGGCTTATTTAACATTATCTCATTAATTCTACTTTCATAATGAGGTGAAATGGGAGATTGGACATGCTTTCCATATTATACGAAGCATTGTTCTAAATGATCCACCAATGGACTTTGTAAAATTAGGTAGTAATAATATTATAATAATATAACGTGCCTTTGTTATGAGGGCGTCTAGCTTAGTTGATTATGTAGGGTGCCTTTGGCACAAGGGTGTCTAGCTTAGTTGATTGAGTAGGGTGTGGGAGTTGTTTTAAACTCCCTTAGTACTGTAATTGATTCCTGTGGATTAAAATAATTAAAAATAATGTTCCTTCAGTAATTTCTTTTTGGTTTTTCTAATATTACTTATGGTGATATGCTTGGTGTAACACTTGACTTTAGATCTGCTAGCAAGCCTGTAGATTGTAGGGTAGGACAAAAGGAAAGAAGAGAAGTAACATTTATTAAGTTGTTATTATGCAGTTCCAAAATTGCATCAACATTAATGAATTCAAAATAAAAAATAAAAACTGAACCACGCCTTGCTTAGGCTGTCTGCCTTCATTCAGTGCACAATTAAGGAGACATTGCCCAGGCAATTGGAGGAACAACATAGACAAATTATCAGCCACTTACCTCTTTGACTCCAAATTTGAGGCAGAAGAATTGACCGTAGAAGTCAAGTCCTTGGCCTGGAGGAGCAATGAGCAATTCCTAAACAATTATCCTCCTCATGGACATTTAATTATGGGTTAAATACGTTTGTAGTTCCTGCAAAATAATTTTTTTTTATTTTGGTCTCTGAAAAAGAATTTATTTGCTTTTCATCCTTTTAAAATTTAGAACTAATGCTCTTGATCCTTGTTGTTATGTAATCATTTTTAATTATTATTTTTTTATTATTAAAAGGTTAAGTAATTATTTCAGGTGTTATTTACAATATTAGTAATATCATGTTAGTGTGTGATAAAAAGTAGTCATTTTAGATTTTAGTGAGATAAAAATTAAAAAAAAAATATCTTACAAAAATTAAAATCAATGGTTTAGTCATTTTACAAATAAATATTTTTATAAGAATCAAAATTAAAATTTATTTATTTTATATAGATTAAAAACATATTTAAGTTTTTAATTATTACATTTGAGTTGTGGCTATAGGTTTTGCTCGCCAAAAGAAAGTGCCCTTCTCAGTTAGTTGGCTCGTCAAGTATTAATATATTCATGGATGCTCTTACAAATTATCAACATATATACAACATGCTCTTAATTAATGTAGTAATTAGAAGAGAACATACATGGTATAAATCGTGTATTTGTGCAGGCTACGATGTGCAGCCATCGCAAATATGTAACACTATCTTTAAATTGCTTTTCTGTTCGATGTGACTTAAACTTGAAAAAAATAAAAAATAAAAAAAATTAAAGTTTAAATATGTTTTTAGTTTTGAAGTAAATTTTGTTAGTTCTTCATGTTTAAAATATGTTAGTTTTTGTAATTTCAAAAAAGCATATTTTGGTCCTGGAGAATCACTAGTAAAATCAATAACATTGATAAATTGAGTTAATTGTGTAAAATCAATTATATTTAATGTGATATTTTTATTAACAACTATAATGCTGGAATTTTGTGCCATAAATTCTATAATTTGTGAATTTTGTTTAACAAATTTACTAGTGATATTTTAGTGGTAGGATTGAAATAATTTTATTTTTCAATCGGCACTAAAGTTAATTTTAATCTTAAGAATCTAAAATCAAATTTACTTTGAATTTGAAAAATTAATAACATATTTAAGTTAAAATTTAATCATGCACGACAGTGATGTAGGTTTTCTTACCCTTAGTAAGATTAGCGAAAGGGCTAGCAATATTTTTCGACTACAGCTATTGATTGACATGTTAAGAAAGGACCAGCATAAGTGAATCATCTAGCAACGTAGAGCACAGGAGAGGAGATGGAGAAGTGAAGTGGTGTGTATTTTGTGTTGCAAAGAGGAGTAGTGTATCGGCTGAGGATAAGCCTTCTCGCCTTGCACGCTCAAGGCTGGAGGGCTAATGTACGGTCCAGGACGAAATCTGACTTAGGGCCTCCACGAGGGACATGTCGGCCATGGCTAAGTCGACCCCCTGTCTAGCAAAGCCCTTCCGCCTTATAGGCTCAGCGTTGGAGGGCTAGTGTACGGTCCAGGTCGGATTCTGACTTGCCTACTACGTATGTCAGACTGACTGTAGCTCTCGTCGATATGTCAGGCCGACTGTGTCAGGTCGACTGTAGCTCTCGCCGATATGTCAGGCCGACTGTAGCTCTCGCCGATATGCCAGGCCGACTGTAGCTCTCGCCGATATGCCAGGCCGACTGTAGCTCTCGCCGATCACCCCTCTAAGAGTGGTTCGGTTATTATTCGACTTGGTTTCTCTACTTAACCTGGTCGGTATATTTCCGATTCCTTCCGCTTACAAGAACCAACTCGGCCAATACCCGACTGTACCCTCAGTACGGGTATGGTCGGTCGGGGGCCGACACAACTCTCGCATACAGGGACTACCCGATAGCAAGGGCAAGGTCCCACTGTCCCTCACCAAATATTAGCCAGATCAAAACGGTTAAGGAAATCCCTACATTCTCGGGGCCCATAAAGCCCGTAAACAAGAAACTATAAAAGAAAAAACCCTAGAGTTGAGAAGGCAGATTACACTCTTGAATGCTCTGGCTTTGAGGTCTGACCTAGGAAAAAACCCTAGTGCACCTCGTGGCCGGAACATTTTGGCGCCCACCGTGGGGCTACGGTGAAACTTTTCCTACGCCCCAAGTAACACAGGAGAACCCGCACTTTACCATGGCGAGAGGCGGCACATCCAACAACGACTCACAACACCCTACCATGGAGGAGATGATGGCATTGATCAACGGATTGAGGGAGGAGAATGCGCGATCCAGGGAGAGAGAGGAGGCTATTCAACGAGAAAACGAGGAGATTAGGAGGCGGGCGGACGAGATGCAAGCTATGATAACGGCCAACGCCAGGACGGTGGAGGAAGATGTCATGATGGAAGTCCCCAGGGATTTTCGACCTTTTTCGGAGGCCATAGAGGCCGAGACCATCCCGAGGGATCATCGGATTCCCCAAGTCGAACCTTTTGATGGAACTCAGGATCCCAGTCAGCACTTGACGAATTTCCGTGCTCAAATGTTGATTTGTGGAAGAAGTATGGAAGTCCGCTGCAAACTATTAATGGGTACACTCAAAAAAGCAGCACTGGATTGGTTTAGTGGTCTCCCTGACCGATCAATCACCGACTTTGATGTCTTTAGTCGGCTCTTCATGACACAGTTCGTCGCTAACAAGAAGAAACCACCGATCACTTCGGACTTGTTCGATCTCAAACAGCAGCGGGAGGAGTCGTTGAAGGACTTTCTGCAAAGGTTCAATGAGGTCGCCTTGAGGATAGCGTCCTTGGATGAAAGGATGGCAGTCATCGCGTTCCAGAAGGGCTTAAGGTCTGGAGCTTTTGACATCGCGCTAGAGAAAGCGAGTTGTCAAATGATGTCGGAGGTGAGAGCTTTCGCCCTGAGTCACATCAAGACGGAGGAGGGACAAATCAACTAAAGGGCAGCTGAAAGCCGAGAAGCTGGGGTCGTCCCAAGAGATTTTTATTCCATATAAAAATGTGAAAAGGTTTTTTTTGCTGAGAAGGTTTTTAATGAGGCACCGCAAACCAATAATTCCTGAATCCTAATAAACATCATCCCTTATTTATCTTATATGATTTCTAACATGTGTTATTTTGAAGGCACCACAAACTCGTGATTGATCGGTAAAAATCTGACTGAGCGAGTATAAATAACTCGAAGACCAAACTCGTGATTGATCGGTAAAAATCCGACTGGGCGAGTATAAATAACTCGAAGACCAAACTCGTGATTGATCGGTAAAAATCTGACTGGGCGAGTATAAAATAACTCGAAGACACAAATTCATGATCGCTCGGTAAAAATCCGAACTAGGGGGAAGCAAAACTCATCAGAGAACACCCAAAATACTAAATCATTCTAGGGAGATCGGCATTTGTCTGACCCGTAGGCTTATCATGTCCCACACCTCGGCCAAAAACGCCACATCTTAGCTAGAAGAACATCTTTTTATTTCACTCTCGGAATGGTGGGCATGGGGGCTATTAGTTGGATTCATTTTAACTCGGAAAATTTTCCACTCATTTTGTGAGTTGGTATTTCGCCGATCGGATTGTCGAATTTCATTGTAACAAAAAAAATTTCTCATCATTTATAGTCGGAAATTAGGCGACTTGATTTTGGTGAATTTCGACTCGGTATTTCGGTGACCCAAGGTGACTGAGTCGGATAGTTAACCGACTACTCCATTTGAAGCTTTTTAACTGGGTGAATTTTCTCACATCCCCTACCAGAGCCCGAGGAGCCACGAATTGAGATAACGAGTCAGTGAATCTTCTTGGTCTGTCCCTTGCCTTAGCCATAAAAGTGTGCTCAACAAGAATCTGACTGTATGTATCGGCTGAGGATAAGCCTTCTCGCCTTGCACGCTCAAGGCTGGAGGGCTAATGTACGGTCCAGGACGAAATCCGACTAGGGGCCTCCACGAGGGACATGTCGGCCATGGCTAAGCCGACCCCTGTCTAGCAAAGCCCTTCCGCCTTATAAGCTCAGCGCTGGAGGGCTAGTGTACGGTCCAGGTCGGATTCCGACCTGCCTACTACGTATGTCAGGCCTATTATAGCTCTCGCCGATATGTCAGGCCGACTGTGTCAGGCCGACTGTAGCTCTCGCCGATATGTCAGGCCGACTGTAGCTCTCGCCGATATGTCAAGCCCACTGTAGCTCTCGCCGATATGCCAGGCCGACTGTAGCTCTCGCCGATCACCCCTCTAAGAGTGGTTCGGTTATTATTCAACTTGGTTTCTCTACTTAACCTGGTCGGTATATTTCCGATTCCTTCTGCTTACAAGAACCAACTCGGCCAATACCCGACTGTACCCTCAGTACGGGTATGGTCGGTCGGGGGCCGACACAACTCTCGCATACAGGGACTACCCGATAGCAAGGGCAAGGTCCCACTGTCCCTCACCAAATATTAGCCAGATCAAAACGGTTAAGGAAATCCCTACATTCTCGGGGCCCATAAAGCCCGTAAACAAGAAACTATAAAAGAAAAAATCCTAGAGTTGAGAAGACAGATTATACTCTTGAATGCTCTGACTTTGAGGTCTGACTTAGGAAAAAACCCTAGTGCACCTCGTGGCCGGAACAAGTAGCATAAGTGAAACTACAAATGCATAGACGTATATAGCAAGCATAATATTTGGACAAATTCTTGGTTCTTCTCAGTTTTAGAAATTTAAACCTCCACCATTCATTGGAGATTTTCATATGTTTCACGAATATAATCGTAGTATTTGCTAAGTTTCATTTAAACAAATAATGACCGCGTTTTTATCATTAAATATACGGTTGGGTCATCGCAAAAGTTTTAAATCGGAAATAGCGACCTGGATTTGAACGTTTTCTGTGGGGGCGAGAATAAAAGAATAATTCGTTGCACACTCAAAATAGTTTTCATTTCTTTATATTCCGTCATTTATTATATCTATTCATTTACCACTATCTAAATCTAAATATGGGTTGTAAAATAATAACAATAATAATAATTATTATTACCCTAAAGAATAATAGTACGTACTCATTTGAAGCCATAAAGCATTCTGAACGAAGGCTAATTAAAGAAAGAAAAGTCATGAACCTTGCAACCCTCCATAGATTGACTTGGACGTTTGAAGGACCGCGTTTGCTTTATATATTTATATATACATATGTTCTTTTCTTGTGGATCGCTGAAATAGGTTAGTTTCCATTCCTCCGTTACGTACCTTAAAGTAAGCATCTTGAAAAGAAGGAAAAGGCAGAAGTTATAGAGCATCGCTCCCTCACTGCCTCTGCAAGCAAAGTCCCTGACAGGATATACCAATATTATGTATAGGATAAAGTTAAAAGATGTTAGGTGTAGCTTGTGTTATGGTAGCCGCAATTAATTGTTGCATTACATCAGGGTATCATAAGATTAGCGTTGTTTGTGTGGAAACAAAATTGTAAATGACTACTCCAGCGGATACCAACCTTACTTTGTGAGCTTGTGTCAGCTGGAAGTGGCTATTGAATCAGATGCCTTTCCCTTTGCCGCTGCTACCACTCATGTAATCGGAATTCCTTTGTTGTTTCTTTCAACTTGTAGTATTTCTTTTTCTTTCCTCATTTCCCTTTTGAGAGCTATAAATAGCATGCCTCACGTCCACCATGTCCATATACATGAGTGCTCATTATTAATAATTCATATTACCTTACCCTCTATCATTCACGGTTTGAACAGTTCAATGGCTAACCCACCCCCAGTTCGTCCATGGTTCCGCTTAGCCTCCATTCGCTCCACCCCTGCTCCTGCTCCTGCCCCTGCCCCTGCCCCTGCCCCTGCCCCTACCCAAGAAACACGCCCTACCCTACCCGCATTTAGAACAGCTTCAGCACCTTCTTCACCACAGACTCATCCAACTCAAACCCCTCAAGAACCTTCTTCTCAACCTCACAAAGTTTCCTCTTCTCTCCCAACTTCTCCACTTCAAAAGCCTACACTCACCACTTCCCCACGTGTGCCAAGTCCCAATAACCACTCTCCAAAAACAGTAAAACAAAGTGATCATAATCGCAGCCCAAAGCAGTCACCCAACAACAAACACACCTCTCCTCCACCCTCTCCCCTCACCCTCCCACCTTCCCAGTTGCGGGCCGAGCCCAAGATACCCGACCAGGCCGAGCCCAAAACCGTCCTAGTCCAGAAAACCATCGACAGGCCCAAGCCCACCTCGCACAATGGCGGCCACGTTAAACACCACCACGATGAGTCCAAGGAGAAAAGCCTTCACAGAAAGGTTTCGGACTCCGAGGACTCCGGCATGAGAGTCATCACCATTGCCGGAGAAAACCGTGGTGCCTTCATGGAACTCATCCAATCCCCCAAGAAACACGACCCCAAGTACCTTCACAAGAAGGGCACCATGAGTTCCAACATCAACGTCGACGGGGTTGAATCGGAGGGTTCCAGCGCTGAGGAAGGGAATGTGAACAAGAAGGATAAGAATCAGAAGGGTAGAAGCGCGTCTTCGTTTCCCATGTCTGCCTACATGAACAGCAACGTTCAGTGTGTCAACAACTCTCTCCTCTACCACACTTCTTGCTCCCACCACGACCCCGGAGTGCGCCTTTCTCTTTCTAAGAAACCCTTCGGTGAAGGCTTCCATATCAAGGAACACGTTGATGCCCACCACGATTGATTCTGTTTCTCGCTTACACTTACACTATGCTAATATGGTATATATCCCAGAAAAAAACAAACAAAAAAAAGGTTGAGTTGAGTTGAGTGGCCAACTAGGTGCATGCATGGATTCTGATTCTTGTGCTTCACTTATTCTCTGGAGCCAAGTTGAAGATTCGCCACTGCCTTTGGTGGAAAATAAATGTATTGTATGCTAATAACTATCCAAACACTTCATTGATTAGCTTTTGTATGGAAGAGATTCTGATTTCTGAACCAGTGGATTGGCGGGGGGGTGTGTGTACGTCTTATTTGTTCATTCAGAAGGTGCTGTTTCTATCACCAATAATGTTGTACGTGTTAAAACATTTGTTCCCATAACAATTCTGGTGTTCAATTCCATGTATTTCACTCGATCTTTATAATCTGTTTTATCTTTTAAAAAATTAAATTAAATGAACCCGTTATAAATCCTATAAATACCCCCAAAAATTTTATACTAAAAACACAAAACACCTGTACATGCATATATCCATTCACGTGCATATCGATGCATACAATATATTACTAAAAACCGAACGCGTGGAGCGCATGGCCTTTCAATATAATAATAGTTTAATTTCAATTTGTGTGAATGCGAAAAGAAATTATTAGCTAGGACTAGGATGATGAAGAAAGTATAAAAGGCAAACAATAAAAGAAATCAAAATAACTAGTCACTCGCATTGCCACGATAAAAATATATAAAAAAAAACTTAAATATATGTTTATGAATAAAGATTATTTTGATTAAAGCAGTGTATTACTTTTTTATTTTACATTAAATAATATATTTTAATTACATTAAAACTAAAATTCATATGTTAAATTAATATTTTGAATCCATGTAAGATTTAAGAATATAAATCAATAAAAATATTTATAAAAACTTTAAATCATAAAAAACATTAATTCACGTAAAATCTATATATTACAAACAGAAACTTAAATTACAAATAAAATAATTTAAATATAAAATTCAAAAAGTTATATATAAGAGAGCAATGTTTGAACAACGTAATTCGGATCCAGTGAAGTTCAAGGGCAAAAAGTTGTGCTGTGCGCCTCTCCTGTGTAAGAATTTTACTTCAACATTTCCCATTTTTGTGGTTTTTGTTAATTTTTATTCTCCTTTTAATATCACCCTTCTTCTGAATAATGTGGGAGTGGAGTGGGTGTGCTATTGGTGTGTGGCAGAGACAGCAAAAATGGCTTTAAATTCCAAAACTTTAACTTTTGAGGAGGTGGCTAAGCACAATCACAAAAAGGATTGCTGGATTATTGTCCATGGAAAGGTCTCTTTTCATTTTGTCTTTCTTCTTCATCTCTTTTTCTTACTTGATCTGTTTCAGTCTAGAGGATGGACATGATGAGTGCTAAATGTTTACACTATTGCCACTTGTTAAGCTTATCAAGTTTTATTTTAATGAAACAAGTGTGCATGAATCCAATGCAGTTCTTTTTTCATCCACAATGATTTTGGATTTGAAAACATTTTTGGTAGTAATCCAGCTCAACCAGTTAAGAATAATAACCAAAATGAAGAACAAAGAACAATAAAAAATTATAATACTCCTCCCAACCGAATTATCTCACTAGTTGCATCATGAGCCTTGGGCGTGCATTTGGGTCATTACCAGTAATCACTAGCTCATCAACGTAGGCCAGTATGGCTATGAAAGTGGATCCAAAAGAAAAAGTGAATATACAATGACTGTCACTACTTTGGTTGAAGCCATAATTAGTTAAACGTTTGTAAACCAATCTCCAGGTCTGTCAAAGCCCATATATGGCCTTCTGTAGATGTCAAATAAATATGTGCCAAAGATTCAAATTGAATTTTAGCATTCACATTATTCTATATCTCTTCTAAAATTGGTGCTTAAAACTTTGATTTCATGACCAGTATGTCGATCAAATTATTATAGCTAATTGCTTTTCACTGTGGCAGGTTTATGATATCACCCCATTTTTGGATGATCATCCAGGAGGTGATGAAGTTTTGGTGGCGGCAACAGGTAATCAATTTCTCGTTGTTGGCTAGTTCATATTAATAGTGTGCAAGTGAAAAAACTATCATCAGAGAGGAGTGAGCGAAGAATCTCAAGTTCTCAACTCAACCTTATCTTTGTTGCAGAGAAGGATGCGACCATTGATTTTGAAGATGTGGGGCACAGTGACTCTGCCACAGAAATGATGGAAAGATACTTGATTGGGAAGGTTGACACTGCCACTCTTCCAGCCAAAGTTAACCATATTCAGCAACCACCTACACAAGCGCATGGTGTTGGCAATCAATCTTCTGGATTTGTTGTGAAGATGTTGCAATTCCTGTTGCCATTGTTGTTATTGGGCCTTGCCTTTGCTCTGCAGCACTATGGCAAAAAGAAGTATGCTAGCACCTCATGAAAGCTCAATTTAATTGAGCTAGAGCCGAAGTTTCAGTATGTTTGTTAATCCCTTGCCTATACAATACAGTATATCGAAGTGGTATTCACCAAAAAAAAGGTCTTAAATCAATGTTGTATCTCTGTATCACCATGCAGGGCCCTTGATGCACTGTTGTGTGGTGTCTTTGATCAGTCATGCTACTTGAGTAGCTCTTCATTTAGACAAATGATTTTTTATCTGATCTCGAGTGTTTGAATATTTTGAAATGGATTTTATTAAATCAATTGGGTCAATGATCTAGTGATTTATTCTTTTGGATCTCTGGGATTTTTGGGAACAGGAGGCTCGGACCCTTCTCATAAAGCCTGGCCTTTGTTTGGAATGCATGGAAATTTAGAGATGAGAAAATAAGTGAAAGAATACACACTTAATGAAAATCTTTTCTTCCCAATTTTCCAAAATTTTTAAAAAAGAATAAAAAAAAAACTAAAAAAAATACTACTATAATCTTAATGGTTACAACATTTACCAACAAAATATTATATCTAATTTTTTTAGAATATTTATATCATTCTCTAAATATGTTATTTTCTTTTCTCTCATATTTTCTCCTTTTTATTAAACAACTAAACAAAAAAAAAATTTACTTATCTTTTTCTTCTTTTCACTTTCTCTCCTTTATATTTCTTTCACAAACTAATCAAAGCATTAATGTTCTGTGAGCTCTTTCTCACCCTCGAGCTAGCTGGGCCTGTTCTTTATGGCCTTATCCTTTTATCGGGCTGGGTGAAGGATAATGACGAAATTTGGACTACATGAGAAATTGGGCCTCACAAGCTTGCTCCGTTAAGGCATTAAGGGTGGTCCATTAGTAAGCCATGCCTTTTTGTTTGGCCTTGCTGATAAAAAGCAGGGGAGTGTTGAGTTGAGTCTACTCCATCAAAAGACTTGAGGATATGTTGTATTTTTTATCTCTCTATTTATTTTAATATATAATTTTAATTGTTTTATTTTAAAATAGAGATACTTAATCCTCTAATTTTATAAATATAAATTTTTGATTCTTCTATCAAATTGACATAAATTAATTATTAAATTTTAATGTTTATATATACTTGTTCTTACCGGAATTTGGTCGTAGAGGTGACCCGTCCAGACACTCACATAATAGCTTGATACGGCCAGGTAGACAATCATGTCGAGGTTGCTAACCGGTTTAGAGAGTATAGGAGGCGCGCTAAGACGTTCCTTGAATTGCTGGAATGATGCTTCACATTCTCGGGTCCAGCTGAACCGCTCTGTTTTCTTTAGCAAGAGTAGAATCAGCTGGGCTATTTCGGCCAGGCGAGGAAGGAATCAGGAGAGCGAGGTGAGTCGGCCTGCTAGCTTTTGCACTTCTTTAAGAGTACCGGGACTCTTCATATCCAATATGGCTTGGAACTTGTCGGGGTTTGCCTCAATGCCTCGGTTAGACAACATGAATCCCAAAAATTTTCCACCTGAAACCCCAAACACGCACTTTTCGGGATTCAGCCTCATTTGATGCTGTCGAAGCGCTTGGAATACCTTGGCCAAGTCACGCACATGGGTGGAGACGTCACTCGACTTCACGACCATGTCGTCGACATATACTTCCATGCTTCGACCAATCTGGTCGTGAAAAATCTTATTCATCAACCGCTGATACGTGGCTCCGGCATTCTTCAAACCGAACGACATTACCCGGTAGCAGTAGTTGGCCGTTTCAGTAATGAACGCCATCTTCTCTTCGTCTTGGGGGTGCATACGGATCTGGTTGTATCCTGAGTATGCATCAAGGAAGGATAAGAATTTGTGACCGGATGCTCCATCAACGAGTCGGTCAATATTCGGCGATGGGTAGGCATCTTTCGGACAGGCCTTGTTTAAGTTGGTGTAATCAGTACACATACGCCACTTTCCATTTGGTTTCCGGACCATGACAACATTGGCCAGCCATGTTGTATAGTGTACTTCTCGGATGAAACGAGCCTCTAGCAACTTGGATACTTCCACTTCGATCGCTGCCTTCCTCTCTTCCCCGGCCTTCCGACACCGTTGGGCGGTCGAATTTGCCTCCTTACTGATTGAGAGCTTGTGGCAAAGGAAATCTGGGTCGATGCCCGGCATGTCGGAGGGGTGCCATGCAAACAAATCTCTGTTGTCGAGAACTACCTGTCCGATAGCTGATTTTTCTTGTTCGGAGAGGACAGTTCCATGGTAAGTGAGCTGGGAATTTGAGGCTCCTACCCGAAGAGGATGCTTGTCCTCGATGGGTTCAACCCTCTCATCCTGGTCAATTCGGGGGTCAAGGTCAATGGCCGAATGCTGTGACACTGAATGGATGCGTTTCGGCTCCTCGGTGATTTCTTTATACATTTTCGGTAACCGCAAGCTAGCGAAGTAGCACTCGCGTGCAGTTTTCTGGTCGGCATGGATGGTGATCACTCGTCCCAAATCGGATGGGAAATTCATGGCTAGATGAGAAGTGGATACGACCGCTCTGACCCGATTCAAGGATAGCCGGCCAAGCAGAATGTTATAAGAAGTGTTGGCGTGAACTACCACATATTAAACTGAAATATCTCGGTATTCTGCTCCTTCAAGCAGTAGTTGGTCGTTTTGGTAATGAACGTCGTCTTCTCTTCGTCTTGGGGGTGCATACGGATCTGGTTGTATCCCGAGTATGCATCAAGGAAGGATAAGAATTTGTGACCGGATGCTCCATCAACGAGTCGGTCAATATTCGGCAATGGGTAGGCGTCTTTCGGACATGCCTTGTTTAAGTTGGTGTCATCAGTACACATACGCCACTTTCCATTTGGCTTCCGGACCATGACAACATTGGCCAGCCATGTTGTATAGGATGCGGTGGATCTCACTGAGAGTCCACCACCCCAGGTGGCTTCTGAGGAGGTGGCTCAGGTTGTTGAGCCTACTGGGCAGGCTGCCGCGATGGAGGTCTGGACTGCCGGGCAGGCTGCCCGAGTTGCCAAGGTGGTGAGTGTCGTCTTTCTCGGACTTTACCTTTGCCTTTTGTTGTGTTGTCCGGTTGTCCGATCTAAGTGATTTTTGCAGGCAGGAAATACCGCTGAACCTGAGGTGCAGGCGGGAAATGCCGTCGCGCCTGAGGTGCAGGCCGCTGAGCTGGTCGCCCAAGCTGCTGAGGTGGGTGGTGTTTTGTCTCCTTGTTTTCGTGGTTACTCGTACGTCACATTATTTGTTTTTGACGTGGGACTGGTTTTTTGCAGGCGGGGCCGGGGGTCCCTAAAGTGGACTTTTCAGGGTGCTGAGCGGGGAGCACCGTCCTCTGCCACGGATTCGGCGCCGCAAGCGGGCTCGTCGCAGAGGCCTGCCCGGACTCAATACCTATCCCGTCGCTTTGGGAAGGGTATAGATAAGGTGCGGCTGGATCACGTGAGCGCCTCCGCCGACATGGATTCATTGTGGAGCGCGGGGGTGACTACGGAGGGGTTCTTCCCTCAGGGTTCGCTGAGCTCCGAGGACCGGGGATTGATAGACAGGGTCGGTCCCGAGGATAGCCTTGATGCTGCCCAGGTCATGCTGCAGAGAGTGATGGGTATAGTGAGCCACTGGAAGCCTAAGTGGGGCCAACAACAAGAGGACCTGGCCAAGTTGAGAGGCCGACTTCAACCTTGGAAGGAGGCAAACAAGATCCTGAGGGAAGAGAATAAAGCTCTCAGTGCAGCCCTTGGTGAGGCGAAGCGGCACGAGGCTGAGCTCCGTTCTGCGCGTGGCGACCTGGCCCGGGTGCAGAAGTCTCTTGAGATTGCATTGCAATCCAATGAGGCTTATGCCTCTCAAGTGGGGGAGCTGCAGGAGCTCGTCGCCTTTTCTCGAGGCCGCGCTCGCTCCTTGGAGGATGAGGTGACCTCTAGTCGTGGCCAAGTACGGGCTCTGGAGGACATTGTGACCTCTCTTAAGGGCGAGTTGGCGACGGCGGCTGAGGAGCGCCTCCGTAACGAGGTCATTCTTGGTGGCCG